CACTAGGACTTCCCTCATATATGGACAATGAAACAAGTGGAACAGCAAAATTAGTGGCCTAATGACCTCAGCTCTTGGTGGCTCTGTGTCACAGACTTGTAGAGCAACTATTCAAAACTAATCATGTACACCACTGATACACAGGCACAATGAGCCAAAAGTACATGACCTTCTCAGCAAGTTTCTTTGAAATGCAAACAAGAATCTGACGGATCAGGGAAGCTAAGCCTCTTTAGTTTAATGAAGAGCAAATTATCTTCCATTTCTTCCCATAAAATTGTGGCAACAGTGTATTGCTTGTTCTCAGTGTTACACAGGAGTTCAGAGGTGTTCAACAGTATGAGAAATTTCACAGCTTGAGTATCTGAAACTGCCCATAAATTGTTTCACCCTCTCTAGTCTCTACCAAGTATGAATTATTCCATTAACATTCACGTGATGCTGTTTTCACCACACTGGCCTCCTCTGTGCAGACCCACGGACCTAATCAAACACATTATCAATCAATCTGCTTGTCAGATACAAGCAGCAAACAAGACTTCTTTGTGTCCTACACAATTGCCTTTTGAGAAAAAAAAAAGTGAGCTATTGGTTTGCAAGAGCATGTAATACACAAGTAATGCATGGCAGGCCAGAGCCTGTGGTGCTGTGAGGAAACCTTGTGACTGAATTCCTGACAAGACACATTTCTGATGGGTTACTCACACTGCCCTGACTGGTGTTCCGGAATGACACAGTATGAAAGAATATTTTTAAAAGATGACTGCAATCACTGGAATCAAAAGCTTCTTGCAAGTTAATAAAAGACAAAAGCGGGCAACACTTTGGCTTCAGCATTACTGAACTTTCATGAAGGATGAACTCTTGCTGCAGAACTCATCTCTGCAGAGCAGAAGGGAAAACAACAGAACAGCTCAACAGTTTTTAAATGTCTCTCAGATTCTCAAAGGGCAACAAAAAGAGAGAAACATGATACCCATCCTTGTTTTGCCTCCTTTTTGGAGGGGATGTCAACTACTGTCTTGAGATCCTGCAATGAGACAAGAGTTTGAAGGAACTTAAGTGGGCAAATGTGGCCACATCCTTTTCTAAGTCAGCCACAACATCTTTCTGTTCTTATGCGTAAGTACGCAATAAAAACCACATAGGTATGCAAACACTTTGTTAAAGCTTTACATACATACACCATGTGATCAAATAATTTTAATGTGCATGTAAATTGCATTCCACAACTTGGACCCTATTCACACCAGGTAAGAAACTTCAAGCCCTGACAGTCCCAAATGATGTAATGAACAAATTAATTCTGCTAAAATTAGTTTTTGAAAAACCATTACCTGCCTTTCAGATGAGTGGGAAACTCTACTAAGACTCAATTAAAAACCTGTTACATGCCATTTTTACTTGTTACATGCCAAGTAAAATTTAATTGATTAATGCTTTTTACAACCATGTTGGAATTTAACCATATAGAGTACAAATAATTCTCTACACAAGTTTCCTAAGTCAGAAAGGGCCTGACCTTCATTATATAACAAAATCAGGTCAATGATTTCTGCAAAAGCTGTGTATTTTTAGAGATGATACACATGGCAACTTACTTTGATACATTAAATCAGAGCATACATTCCCTGGTCTTGCATTTGAAAATTGCTCCAATTCCTTTTATGTAGAATACTTGTGGAAAAATCATGAAGGTATTTATGCAGTAGAAATTTGAACAGGGGCTTAGGCAGGGTTCCTGTAAGTTTGCTTTACAGCACCCACTCATAGATTGAAATTATTTTTATTAACCAACCTGAAAAAGCTCCACTACCATCACCCAACAGCAGCAAAACTCATGACCTCTGGAAATCATTATGGCTGGTGCAGAAACAGGATAAGTAATGGCCCATTAAAACCAGTGATTGAATCTTAAACATCTTTATTTAAATAGTCAAAATAAATATTTGATTAGGCATAGCTAACCAAAGTACCACAACATTTATTTTTTTAAGCACATATGTCAAAGGAACATGAGTGCCACCTCCTGGTTTAGGCATGGAAACACTCTGGGTTGTGCTTACTGCAATCCAAACTTCCAACTAGATGTAAGGGGTTTTTTCCACTCCTTTCCTTAAAGTCACTAGAATGTTCATCTTCAACATTCACAGAATGCTGTCAGAACAAAAATAACTAAATGCAAGAATCCAATAAAATTTGCTTATCTTTAGTGCCTGGAGCAAAATAGCTACATAAACTCTTCACAGGTACTTTTCCCCAAATTTAACTTCACAGATGTCAAATCCTATTAAAACACAGGACTGTAAATATTAAGTAAATATTCGAGTGCAGTCGCTTGTAATTCAAGAGGCAGTCTTGGAATCAATGTGGAGTGTGTTCTCATGACTCTTCTACCCTAAAAAATGCCTTATTAATTAAGTGAAATGTATCCATCTCCTATCCTAGAAGTGACAGAATCTAATAAAGAAGGGCTGAGAAATTTACTACAAATGGCACAAAGAACTGCAGCCCATTTTATATCTACTGCAACAGTCAAATCACAAAGTTGTTGAGAATATAGGGGTAAAATACAACCCACTTCGAGTTCCAGTCCTGCACCTTAGCAGCTGTGCAGGGGTTAAAAAAAAGGTTGACTCCATTTCACATAACACCCTCAAATGTGTATCACTGTTATGTCAGAGGCATTTGGTAACAACTACCAAAGTTCTTTCAAAGCAACTTTAGAAGCAATTTAAGAAACACATCTGCCCCAATGCAATGTCTGTGCAGATACACAGACAATGCACTTTCCCTGTGTTTACAGGAGTAAAGTCAATTTACCAACATACAATTTACCAGCACTGGGTAAATGTTGGCTCTGGGTCTCTTGTTTTCTCCCGATATTCAGTATGGGCTAAAGTACACGAGCCCACAAGCTGGGAGAAGCTGCACTGTGTTAACTCTGTATGGCATTGTGTTCTGTGGATTCCTAAATCTCACCTCCCAACATTTCAGCTCTCTGTGCCATGTCACACCCTCATATACCCACATAAAGCCAGTTTTTCTCCACAGGCTAAGAAGCCACTGTTAGACTAAATGTTATCATTTCCCAACTCCACGTTCTTCTTCTGTGTATTGACTTAATCAGGAACATAATCCTCAAGTCTGGGAATACATAGACCAACTTCTATTTTTTTTTTTTTAAGTATAACCCTTTGGAACAAAACGCATTCATGTGTTTAATGTCCCAGCAAACTCTCATTCTTGTAAAGAAGACAGACAATTATTGCACTTGTATCCCACAGCAACACGCACTTCCCGAAGAACCACAACTCTTTCTGCAGTCACCATTCCCATACTTTCTCATCCCAAAGCAGCACAGTCCACGATGCATTCATCAGCACTTGACCAATTCCTTGTTTGGCAAAGGTTCTGCCACGACTTCATCCCGCATGAACTGCTCCTAAAGACAGCAAGCAGGAATTTAGGCTATTTACATTCTTTTTTTATCTCCTCTACCTCACAAACATCACGACATACACCCAGGCTAGAAAACAGAGTGATTATAGCACGGATCTGTCTCCCAAAACACAAAAGCCGTAACGCGCCTACGAGGTGAGAAGAGCTGCCAGGGCTGCTGGAATCAGCCGCTGGAGTCAGCCCCAGGAGCCCTTCACATCACTGGTTTCATCCCGTCTGCATCCTGCCCCACGCCCACCCAGCGTCTTTTTAACCCCAAACACGGCAGGAGGAGACCAGAAAAACGAGAGATCAGGCAGCAGATGTAGCTCCAAACCAGGCATTTTTTAACGCTGTCCCGCGCTTCCCACACGGGGCGGAGAACCGGGACTCGGAGGGACCCGGCTGGAACCGCGTCCGCCTGTCCTCCCTCCGCACCCACCTGGTCGTAAATGACGCGCAGGATCAGGGAGCAGCTGGGGCAGGTGGCCACGTCCTCGCCGTTCTCCAGGTCCTCCTGCAAAAGGCCGGGAGAGCGGTCAGGCCCCGCCGCCTGTCCGGCCCCCGGGCCGCAGCACCCTGTTCTCCCCCCAGCCCTGCCCGGCCGCCCCTCACCCGCGTGATGAGGAATCGGTCCCCGCAGGGGCACGGGTAGCTGTAGGTCCCGGTCTCCTCGTCGTACTCAAAGTCCTCGATCTCCACCTCGTCGTGGAACACTGCCATGCCGCCAGGGAACGGCGGAGCTGGGCCGGGGCGGACGGGAAGAGGCGGCGCCTGACGGGGCACGAGGGCGGCGCTCCCCGTGACGTGATGCGGCGGCGGGTAGGGGTGGTGGAGAGCGGGCCGGGGATTCCGGGATCCCAGGGAGGGTTCGGCTGGGGAGGAGGGAGTGGGGGGGCAGGAGGGTGAGGGGCGGTGGGCTGAGGGGCAGCGCGTTCACGTCCTCCTGGCTCGCCCTTTCCTCACGGCGGGAGCCCCGCACGCCGGTCGGAAGCGGTGGCCGGGCCGCCCTCTGCGGCCGATGGCGCTGCCGGTTCCAGCCCTGGCGTCTTGCCCTGCGATCCCAGGGGCTGCGGGGGAACGGCCGGGCACTGCTGCGACCTTGTCCTGGTCCCTCCCTTGCCACTTGCCCTTGTCCCTGCCCTGCCCCTTAGCCGTGTGCTTCCCCTGCCCCTTGGCCGCCTCAGTGCCGCCCCGCCCCAGCTGGGCACTGGCTGCCGCCGCCTCTTCCCCGCCTCACCCGCCTCCTACCAGCGCTCACCGTGTTCCCCTCAGTCCTGGGAAAAGGGAGAAAACTGTTTTCTTGGTTTACTTTTGCAGGAAGGACTGTTTGTCTAAAGGAGTGTTTTACCGAGAGATAGCTTTTGAAAAAAGGCTTCCTGTGCCGCTTGCCTCAGTACCCTTACTGCCCCACTCTGCACTCTTGCATTAACCTACCTCGTAATTTGCACTTAAGTGTGATGCGGGTGAACTAAAAGTAGCTTTCCCTTCAGAGAGCGACATGGGATTGTGCGACAGAAGAGGTGCAGACATATATCTCAACAGATACTCAACCCAGGGCCAGTGGATCAGAGGGAATGGAGAATGAATGGCTCGTTGGTTTTATCTTAGGAGAGGAAGAAGTCAAGAAAAGTAGTGCTCATTTCATTCCATGGAGGAAAGGAGGTTTATAAAATATGTAAAGGGTGGGTGTCAAGAGGATGGAGTCAGGCTCTTCTTGGGGGTGCCAACCACTAGGACAAGAGGCAGTGGACAGAAACTGGTGTTCAGGAAGCTCCACCTGAATGTGAGGAAGAACTTCTTTATTGTGTGAGCGACCAGGCACTGGAACAGATTGCCCAGAGGTACTGGAGGCTCTCTCACTGGAGATATTCCTGAACCATCTGGATGTAGTCTTGTGCACTGTACTCTCTCAAATGGCCCTGCTTGAGCAGGGAGGTTGGACCATAGGACCAACTGTGGCCCCTTCCAACTTCCGAGAAAAAAGGGGATATTTGGAGTGGCTGTTCCTGTACTGTCTTGGGTAAGATGAGAATAAAGGGGGAACATCCCATCTGACAGGAGCCTGGGAAGCTGAAGCACAGCGCTTTCATGGCGAGCAGGGAATTGCCAAAGAGCTGGATGAGTGAAAAAAAATCACAGAGGTGACAAATGGGGGAAAAGATGTTCACATTTTGTAAAGGCATGAGTCACACTTCTGTGTGGTAGGGGAGAACCAGAACTCATTAAAAGACATTTAAGAATTCATTGGTTGCAGAGTAAAAATTGCAAATTATTTTTATTGTGTTTTTCATGATTGGAAAGTGATGATAGTATAGATGGAACAAGTTTCTTGAACTATGGTTCCAGAGTTATTTCTAATTTAGGATAGAGACTCAGCCTTCAAGCAGTTGTATCAACAGGGTCTTTCAGCTGTGACTATAAAATTAGGCTAACATTTCTTTTGTTTCCAATATTATGTATCGATATTGAACTTCAGGTTGGTTGGAGATGTAGATGTCTATAACCATGATGTGCTATAAGAAAGATTCAAGATCTTAAAGTGATCTCACTAATTTGAGAAACTGATTTTTGAGCACTCTGAGTTTACAGATAATATGCCAAGGTAGAAGAATGGGACTTCATTAGATGTGTATTTTGTTGTCCTAAAATATTTTGAGATTGTTAATACTTTTGTTGACAATGTCGTCTACACCTGTGATGTAGAAAGTACTGAAGTGTTTTGCTTAAACACTTAAGTATACTTTAAGTACTCTCTGATGCTGTGGAAAAAAAAATATGAAGTAATTTTGCTCACTGGGGGTAGAAGACTTTTCAATAATTCCATTTTTTAAAGTGGCAAGCTGCTGTGGAATTAAATGCTGAAAAACTATTAAAAATTATGGACAGTTAAAAGCTGCAGGAAGTATTTCTTATGCTTGAAAATGGGCATTTTGAGTAATGACTGTAAATGTATTCCATTTCTGAGCAGCCTAATTTATGGAAGCTCTGCTTCATTCATACAAGACTACAAACAGGACAGATTACTAAGTGACCATCCAGTGCAGCTGTTAGTGAAATCCTAGAGAGTGTTGGCCTGATTAGTTATCAACAAGCTGGATCAGTGCCATTTCAAGGGATTAGAGATGAAAAACATTTTGAAAATAAATTACACGCCTTAAAAGAATGCACATAAATATATTTAAATGAAAGTAAAAGATTAATGCTTTAAAGAAGCAATGGACTGCATCATGGGGATAAATATCATTTGATAGGTGATGTTATATGATAGTTACGCTAACATTTTAGGAAAAATAAAGGCAGATTTACAAATTTGATAGGTGATGTTATATGATAGAGAGTTATGCTAACATTTTAGGAAAAATAAAGGCAGATTTACAAGGAATGAGAAATATCTCTTGGCTCTCTATGAACCTGTTCCTACACTTGAAGGGTAGTTCTGACTAACCTTGAATGTTGTGCATAACAGTTTAGCTTTCTCTGTCATAGCTGTTTGAAAGTGTGGTTTTGAAGCTTCCCACTGTGTTTCCACTGCAGTGAATATGCGAGTCCTTCACTTTCTTTACTCTTTAGAGATGTATTATGTAGAGTACATAGAAGTGCGAGGGATTAATGTGCTTTTAAATAAACCTGTGAACAAACAGGCTTAATTAAAGTTTATAAAATTCTCCATCCAGAACCTTTCCTTTACCACTAGAAAGGGAATGGACAGTCAGTGTTTGATCTTTCATACATGAATATTGTTTGAACATTTAAAATCACAGATATGTTGACTGGAAGGCACTTCTGAGCATCATCCAGTCAGAATTTGTGCTTGGAACAGGACAGTTGTTCACACTGGATTAAGCCAGTCCCAGCTGTAGACCTCTGTCATTAGGCTTCTGCTTTCCAGCCCTGCAGTTTCACAGTTCCCTGTTGAAGGGGAGCTCTACTATTCTTACCTAGTATCATCCACAAGTTTGCTGATCATAGAATGGCCCAGAGGGGTCCTCAAAGATCATCCAGTTCCAATGACCATGCCATGAACAGGGACACCTTCTGTCTCATCATCCAAGTTAGTGATAAATATATTGACCTGTATCAGCCCCAGGTTATTCCTACTGTTCCAGCCAACAAGTGAAGCAAACTTGAAGCCATCAAGTCTTCAATTATGTCTGCCCAGACAAGTTTTCAGCCACTCCAACCATCCATCTGGTCTGGTGTGTGTGCTTCAGGGCCTGGTGGCAGGAGCCACAGGACACTCAAGGTGTGTTGCATCCTGTCCCCTTAGCTGCGTGACCAGACCTTTCATCACGGTAGCTGTTTGGATTTATCAAACGTAACCTGCCCTTGGTAAATCTGAGTCACATCTTCCTGATTGCTTTCTAAGCTTTCACCCAGCTAAGGGGACAAGCTCTGAGCATTTTTCCAGATACTGAGATGGTGCTGACTGGATGTAAGCACTGCTTTTGCCTCTCTTAAAAATGAGCACGTGTAAGTCTTTTCCCAGTCAATTGGAGACTATGTGATAAATGTTTTTCATAGGTAATAGACACTTGCCTGACAAGCATGTCAGCTGTGTTTCTTAGCAACCTTGAGTGTAACCCATCTGGCTCTGTGCATTTGAGTGCATCCAGTGTCTCTCAGCAGGTGCTGGCCCTGCTCCTTCTTATCCCTGTCCTTCCCAACTACCACTGGTACAAGCAGAGGTCTGGGTGCAGACTTTGCCTGAAAGGCTGAGGCAAAGGGAATGCTGAGTACTTCAGCCTTTTCCATATAATCTCTGACAAGGTCTTCGCCTTGTGAGAGGTTGAAACATTGATGGTTAATGGCTCAAGCAATTGCCCATTTGGAAAAGCTACAGGGGCTTTGCTGAGGCCAGGTTTGCACCCCTGGACCAAAGGGCAAAGGAGAGGTTTGGGTGTGTGGTGGGAATTCTCTGATTTGCACAAGAGCAGCCCAGGTACAGGGAGGGTGAGCACCCATCACCAGAGGATGACCACAACAAACTGACCTTTGTTTAGCAACAAGCTGGGTTTGAGCCAGATAAGGGGAAAAGCCAGTGAGAAGCAGGTGCTGCTGAGGTGGGGTAATGCTGTCTATCATGCCAGTGTCCTCCCTTCCACAGCTGGGCCAGCTGTAAATCTCCCCTCGCAGGGAAGGTATCAGGACACTCGTGTTCACAGCTGGGCCTGAAGGTGTTCATCCCTTCCTGGGGGGCAGAACTGGCTCAGTTACACTGGATGAGAGGCAGCTGTCACGGCTTAGAGGGTGTCATAACCCATCAAAGACCCCAAAGCGCCCCCAGACTCATTTCTGGGCCTTCCACCAGACCACTGCACATGATCCCCAGTGCTGGAACAGACAGTGTAAAACTCCCCCCAGGGAGGTGCCTGAGAGTCCCCACCTTAACCTGAACATACTGAGCCCATTGAAATCTGTGTTTCTTGGTCTTCTCTCACCCCGATGGATCAAATGTCCAGCCATCACTTTGACTAAGTGAAATTGCAAGAGTCAGTTCTTGTCACTGGATCCACGGTTGTGGTATCTTTCCACTATCTTCTCTTATCCTTTCCTCTTCTTTTCTGTATATATTTTCTTAAATGATTCTTTTATAGTTTTATATTGTTTAATTTCTATAGATAATAGCTAAAAGGGTTCTCTACCTCATTTTCATTGCAACCAAATTGTTCTACAACAAACCTGCATTATACATATATGTATATATATATATATATAAATATATATGCATATATGTATATATAAATAAACACTGGTCATTCAGTGTCATTTCACTCTAATCTGCCCCAAGGAATCTATTAACAAAAACCTGAGTTACCCTCACCTTTAGGAGTGGGCATAACATCCTTTCACTTGAAGGATGCACATTTTCACTTGTTTATGAAACTTTCATGCTTTTGAAATTCCCTCTCATTATACTTTGTTGCAAGTTTTAGCTCCAGCTGAGCTTTGGCTTTTCTGATTTAAGGGAAATAAAAGCTGGAAACAAGCCATTTCAAACACTGAATGCTTCATTTAACAAATATTAAAAATTTTTTTTTCAGGAGCCAGTGATTCCAAAGACTGCCTGATCATCATGGCTCGTGCTACTATTTATGTGGGTTGCACCGTTCCTCAATTACTGAGAGGTGCTCAGAGCAGAATTTTTCCCTCTCATTCTCCATTGGGGGTGTTGAGACACTCTGCTTTTTGTTACTGCACAGGGAACGGGTAGGTTATCCACCTCCTTGGTTTTTTTTAAGAGAATGCCATGTAACACTGTCAAAATCAAACTGACAAATTACTACAGACCTATAAATGCTTAATCTAACTCCCAATTATATATTTGTATTTAATTCTTATTTAGATTTATTTCATCTGTAGTCTGGATTACACTGGTAGATTGTTATGCTAATAGAAATTCATATCAGTAAGGGACAGTAGCACAGCTGTCAAAATGACAATTATCTTTGTTTGCTTTTTCTTGCAGCACAATAAAATCAAAAAGGAAAATGGATCATCTAGAGAGGACAGCAAATAATTTTCGACAGGAGGTTAGTGTTCTGTTCTTTCGATGCAAGTAATTTTTTTTTTTTTTTTGCTGCAAAGATAATTATATTGGATAACAGTATTTGATTCTTAGACTCCATTTTGCCTTCTGCTGGAGTCTGGTTTTCTTCTTTTTCTCCTCATTTTTTATATTTGTTACTGGTATAAAATTAGCATATTTAGTGCTCGATGGGTGAAATATAATGAGTTTTAAAGTTTTTCAGTGATATGATGCTGTTTACTTTATGTTGGATAAGAAACTTAATAGATTTCTGGCCAACTATGCATTATAATAAGTTATGCATAACAAAAGTACGTGGATACCCCTTATCTCTAAACGGACTTCTCAATTTTTATGGGTTTCTACAATTCTGGTTCAGGTTTGAGATTTTAAAATGTGGAAAATGTCATTTTATGACACACATAGGAATAAGGCAAAAATTGTAGACATTTTGAAGGGAGAGATATTTTATAATCTTCAATTTTATCTAGTTTAATTCATAAATACAAGGAAGATATAGCATTGTTCTCCATCAAATCCAGAAGTGCTCATTCTGGATCTCAGTTTTGAGCAGCAAGCATTCTTTTTCATTATGTTCAGAGGGAAACATACTGTTGTACTTCATACAGATATTTCTTTTCTGTAATAAGCTAAAGTAGATGCACACATACCACACATCTGTCAGCCTGTGTACATGAAGTCCTTCTCTGCTGTTTTTCCCTAACTATAGTGGAGAATAAATCACATTCTTCCCAAGAGGAAGCTGGGAGCAGGGGGATATGTAGGTAACCCCCGAGAGAGAATATTCAGTGCTGTCTGACTGGGCTGTAGATGCATGAGACAAATGCAGCCTGGTTCTGCCTGTCACCAGAGCTGTGAGCCAGCTTTGGGAACCACGGAGCTCAGCTGTTCACACCTAATGCCATCTCTTCTTCCCTGAGTACAGATCAGTGTTGCTTGTGGACATCCAGCTGCTCTGATGGATCCTGTTTACCTGAGAAAATGGATGTAGAGACAGGCACAGACCGATGCATGTTCTCCTTTGCTTCTGACATGAAAAAAATGATGGCACTTTTGAGTGTTGCAACCATGGGGTTTTTTAATATTTATTGTTTGGCTTGCTTCCTTTCTCTGCTCAATGTCAGTACCTGAAAAATACGTGGAAAATGGATCCTTGTGAGGTGTTGGAAGCTCAGGGTTGGTGCAGGGAACTTTAAGGCACAAGGAAGAGAAGGAAGCTGTGTGAGATAGGTGAAAGATCAGGGCTCAGTTCTTGCTACTGCACATTCTCTGCATATCAGAGGATTATGTTGTTTCTTTTTTTAATGCTTGATTTATTCTTTGTTGCTTTATTTCTGATCACTTAAAATCAGTTTATTTTAAAGCCTCTGCTTGGTTTTAAATTCCATATAATCAGCAGTTTGTTTCCCTCAGCCAATATTGCCTTATTTGGCCATTTCAGTCCTGTAAAAGATGAAAGAATCATAAATCTGTGTTACATTACTGTGAATGCTACAGAACATTGCCTGTTGAAGAGTGATGATGTGAAGGACCAGCACAAGGAAAAGTGACTAATGCTTTCTTGAAATACAGCTGCAAAATCCAGAGTCCTGTGCCCTCCTCTCACTGCAGCCTTGCTTTGACCAGTTGGATACCCTGGTGATGGTCCAAAATACTGGCTGAATGCCTGACTCAAATTTAATTTTTGAAAGAACTTTATACCAATTAAGAATTAAATTTCCAGTACTCTTGCAGCTCTCTCAGCTAAATAACAAATTAAGGAAGGTACTGAAGAGTAAAGGAGAGACTTAAGAAGTCCAAATTTAATGTCCTTTTCCTGCAGTCCTCCATCAGAGCAACCACTGAAGTCATGTATCTGACATTTCTCTTGTTAACTTTGACTGACTGCATTCCTCATTTAATACTGTCTGCTAAAGTGGAACAGGAATCCATGCTACTTAATTTTAAATTAGCAAATGTCCTGCTGTTTAATGGGGCAGGGAACGTGTTCAGATGTTGCTTTAAGAATAAATTAATTTCCTGACATATGTTTTAAATTACAGCATAGTTGCGTAATTTTTTTTTTATCTGTTTGATCTTAGACAAATGATAAATGGTAGAGTTGTGGTGGTATTTTGAGTATTTCCTTGTGTGGTAAGTGACATCAGCATTTTTAACAGTAAAATCTGTGTATTGCTCTATGTAGAAAATACTTAGGGCATTGCTTTCTTTGTAGAGGAAAAAAGGTTAATAATTATAGTCCAAAAAAACCTGAAAAGGAAGGGTAGGAAGGGGATGAAAATCCATGTTGCACTGATGGGCATCAAAGAATTTAAGTGGGGTACTCATCCACAATGGGTCTTTTTGCGAAGTCTGCTTTTCATTTTTCATCTTTTTTTTTAAACTCCTTAAAAGTAGTATTAACTATGGCTCTGACATTCCCTCCCATGTGGCTGCCAAACAAAATCTGCTCTGTTAACCAGCCATGAGACCTTGTGTCTTGGTTTCCCTGTGGTCATATGGGGGTGTAGGGGGTAAATGCAGTAACACAATGCTTGTTGCTTTTCTTTCATTGATACATTAATGCATAATCTTTCAGTAATGCATTTAATTACTTAAATCAGTCTAGATCCAGAATTGTCCTTGGGACTTCACCTGCAACTGATTTTTTACAAGTATCCTTTGTCTTTATATCAGAGATCTTTTTACTTTGTTGCTGGAGAATGCAGGAGTGTGTGTCTTGTGTGTGAAGAACCTGATCAGTGATAACTAGCAATCACCTCTCTATATACCTGTGTTCTCTTCAGCTGAAATAAAGTAACTTTGTGTATATATAATCTTAGAAAAAGTGACAGGCATGGTAGACTGCAAAGTACAAACACTGTTCTCCATTCCATTAAGTGAATTATAGAATGGTTTGGGCTTGAAGGGACCTTAAAGATCATGCAATTCCAACCCCCTGCCTTGGGTAGGGACACCTTTCACTAAACTAGGTTGCTTAGGGTCCCATCCAACCTAGCCTTGAACACTTCTAGGGTTAGAATCCATTTTTGTTTCATCACCTCAGTGAACAATATTGGTGCTGTAGGTAATGAAATGCCATGGGTAACATGGGGAAGTGATGGATGTCTCATGCACAGCTTCTTGAGTGCTTTTTCTGCAACTTATATCTACATATCACAATGGCTTCTTTTCCTTTTGCTAGGTAATTACACAAGCAAAAGTGTGTGGAATCACCAATGAATCAGAGACAGTCAAAAGGCTTCGTTTGGCAATTGCAAATAAGGATTTTACTTTCAAAGCAGGACAATGGTAAGATCTTCTGGTATATTTGAGGGGGAAATTACTAGAAGTCCACTATAACAAAGTGATGAAAGGTTTCTGATCCTTGGGCCTTGGAAAAAGTTGTTAATTTATATAATACTATGTTTTCTTACTGGATGCTCGGTCAAAGAGCTGATATTTGGTATAATTTTTAAACAGTCGTTATAAAAAATACTAATATTACTATCAAAAGGGCAGAAGTGAATATTCTTTAAATGTTCAGTTATAGTGTTTTGGTGCTTTCCTGTGGTTTATTATATTACCATGTTTCTTCAGGAGTACTTTGAAGTTCACTGCACTTTATTCTGCAGGCTGGTTTTATTTACTAGTTATTTTTACAGTGGAGCTGAGACTGCTAAATTTGCAAGTTACTTCGTTTTGGTTTATTTCTTCCCCTTGAAGTTTCCACTTTGAAAATTAAGCCTGTTACATCAGATTAATATATTAATATAAATAGACAAATTTGAAAATAAAAACTTTGAATTATTAAGCCTTTGAAACAATTAGCTGTTTGTTTAAACAATTTTACAGGTTTGTTTTTTTTTCCCAGGGCAGTAGTGGATTTTCATGTTTGTCTTCCTTCCTTGTTAAAAATACTCTCACTCAATAACTTTTTTTTTCTCTTAGAAATTAATTTAAAAATAGGAGTAGTTGCTTTTGGCAATGGACATTTGTACGTTCTTAAACTTTTTATTGGCTTTGGCCATCTGAAAGTAGTTTTGCTGAAATCAAAGTATAGCTGCTAGGATACTAGCAGCATATGTTACTCATGGAGTGTTAATATGCTGGCTTTTAAATTTAGAACCAGAACACAAGATGCTGATTAGCAATAATTTGTTTGTGAAGTAATTTGCTGCAGTTTTTGCACATGTGCAGTGACTCATATTAAATTCTTGCTTGTCAGTACTTGCAACGTACTTTTACCCTCCAAAAATGTTTTTGAAATTATCATGTGGAAACTGAAAGCTTTAATTATAATTACTCTTCTTCATTTTCTTCTTCCTTGAAAGTGTTCTAATGCTATTTTGTAAGGTACACATCAACTTCTCTGTACTTGTATCTATAAACTGAGGTTGCAATTTTGGTGAGCAACACATTTTCCTGGGTAGAAAAGGCTAACTTGTTAGGATTTGCTATAGTAAGATGTTACAGTCAAAGATTGTCACTAAAATGTTTACATTTCCTGAAAGTGTTCTAATTACTGAGTTTTTCAGAAGCAAAAGTGAATTTGTTTTGCAAGCAGTTTGGCAGATACTGACTGGTCTTTATCTGACTTCAAACAATAACGAAGAGATTTGTTGCTGTTACACCTTTTGATTTACTAAAACACGCATTGAGGTATATACATGTTGCAAATACTTTGAAGAAGTAGCTTTATGGTTTTAGTGTTTCTGATCTCTCACTCCAGCAATGGGTAATTATTACTCATTTCTTAAAGATATGGTTTAGGTGGATTTTAAAAGGAGGGAAGTAAAAAACAACACCCTGAGATCTCTAGTTTACATCTATTTGTGCCTCTCCTTGTTGTGGGTTTTCTTCACTTTTTTCCCTTCTGCTGCTCTTTTCTCTTAGGCTTTCTTCAGGAGCCCTCTCACCCTCCCTTACATGGCTGAGAAAAGCCATCAGAGCTAGTCCACTACAGGATAGTAAACTGTGCCTTGAAATCTCTCATAGTTATGTACTTGGGAAAAAAATACATCTGCATTAGTATTTGGGAAAGGTAAAAACCATGTTTGATGTAGGTTTTGCAATAATAGTTGTGTGTTTCCCCACCAGGCATGGATAAGGTTTCCCTTTACATGCCAAGGAGAACATTTGACTTGAATGTAAATTGTGACTTTACAGCATAAATTCTCATATTTTTCGTTAACTTAAGTTCGTCTAAGTAGGAAAATTATTTTCCACCAGAGGGAGGTAAAGAGCTTCAGTAGCATCGTGAGATGTTCTTTGGCAGGATAAACACTGCAATTCAAGAGTCGACCTATCTCAGCTGCCAGAGCCTGACTTGTCACTAAAGCTGGACCCCACGGGCAGCGGGGCTGCACAAGCTGAGGACACTGAAATAGGCTGGTCATTTTTTTGGTTGTAGACCATTCTTTTGCAGTCAGGTATCTTTATGCATCATCAAGTTATTATAAGCATCAAGTTAAAAATTGTATCACACTGTATGCATTCTTTGAGAGAAGGAGATTCTTTTCTTCAAAGGGTGAATTTTTGGTGGAGTAAGCAGACAAGATTTTTTTTTTTTCAAAAAGTGGTGAACTACTCAAAGTGCTGTTCTCTTTTCTCAAGCATTTGTGGTACCTGTGAAGAATACAGCTTTGCTGCTTAAAGAAAATACCTGTGCAGTAGCAGTCAGTCTGTATTTCTTGTTGCATCCTCACTTAACTAATACTGAGCCAGCCTAACCCAGGCTTGAATTGAATAATGGTTCTCTAGTACCTGGCACTGTTCATCAGTGTGATTGTTTCCTAAGGGGACCAGCACAACTAGTTACAGGCATTTGTTTTATTGTGAGATACAGTGCTTTTGTTAAGTGCTGTAGAAAGCAGAAGCATTTAAAGATTTACGGAACACAGAGGAGGGCAGGTGATAGATAACAAACCAACTTGTAATTTTTTTCTGATAATTATTTGGAAGCCTCATCAAGGTTTATCAAAGCCTTACTTTTTGAGACTGAATGAATAGTTCATCTATATTAATGGCTTGCCTTCCATACTCTCTAATGGCTGGTATTGCAGAAGCTTAGCCACATGTTACCTTCTTATCTGTACAAACTCATGCATGGTTTGCTTTTAAGCAGAAAGGAAAAAAAGTAGGAATTTATTCCAGTTCAATTTCCTATAACCTAAAAAAGCGGTATCTGCCACCAGAGGGAGCTGCAGTTCTGCTGCCAGCTGTGGACTTCTTATGTGGGAATTTTTTTTACATACTGTTGGTTTTATTTCAGATATTTCGTCTACCCAGGAAAATAGTGTTTAATATAAGGTAATTTCCCTAAAATTAGAATGCAAATCTTCCTATGTTTGAAAATTGAAGAGCCCATCAAAGAGACCAAAAAGAGTGGGAATTAAGCTACTCTATCAGACCATAATTATGTTTTTGTTCTAATATGCAAATAATTGATTTAAAACATGTAGAATTCTAGTCTGTTGTGAAATGTGACATCTAATGCTAAAAGTAGAATGGTTTGAAAACCTTCTAGTTTTCAAACATGATGACATGGTTCTGGAAGAAAATCATTCTAAGGAAATGGTGTTACTCAAGGTTAACTCCCTTTTTGGAAAAGTTATGTTACAGAAATGAAGATGTTGTAAAGGAAAGATAATTGAAACAAAGGCAGCCACATTATTTTGGCTATTGTTGTCCATGTTTGGGGTTGTTGGCTTCTTTTTTAAACTTTCATGTCTGATCTCTTTTTAGGGTCGATTTCTTTATTCCTGGAGTATCTGTAGTTGGGGGATTCTCAATATGTTCAAGCCCTGGCCTGTTAGAACGAGAAGGAATACTAGAGCTGGCAGTAAAGCACACTGTTCATCCTCCTGCTCACTGGATTCACACTGAGGTAAATGAAATTAACTGTGAGATTGGGCTTGCTCGCTTTCCTTTTTTGAGGTGAAGGGGGTGGTATTTGTTTTTAGACCACTTGGTGCTATTAACTGCAAAATTCACGTTGACTTCTTCAAGCATTAAATTTAATTCAATCTTAAAACCTTTTGTTCAGTAAGGGACTGAAATTGGATGTTTATATGGAAATACAGTTACTGTGATCTTTTGACACCACTTCTGCTTATAGTGGACTTAAAGTGATATTGTAGTTAGTGTATATAAGGGTTCTCACTCCTTTGGAATGAATGAATTTTTAAAAAACCTCTGTTCTAACTTACATCCCTGAGAACAGGCAGTGTTACACATTACAAAGTTACCTCTGATAACCTTCTATAATTCCTGACTATTTCTGCAAATATAAAGTGGGAATCATTGACCAATCACAGATAGATACAGAGTATTAAAGGGGAGCCAAGGAAGATACTTAGATCAGTTCTTCTGAAATGATAAAACATTTCAGAATATCTCTAGTATTCTTTTAAATACACAATATTTTTGTAATAAAGATATAACACAAGGCTTCGGTTTCTGCTGTATGAAAAGTAAAGTCTGAGACTTGGCCTCGTGGTGTTTTGTTCCTCATTTACCCCATTTAGTTTGTCAGATGAGTCACATGTTTCATCAGTGATCTGTCCTATCAACTTTTGTTCTTTTCACAGTCTCTGGAAACTATTTAAGAATTTTTGCTGTTGTAAATCAGTTTTTGTTGCTGAGTTTTCTGGTGGAATTTATAGGATAAATCTTTAGTTAAGGGGTAACCTACATCAAATCTAATGCCATGGAGAAATCTCCAGGGTATACATGGACTCTTCTAGCTAAACAAAAGTGCATGCTTTTCTTCAGGAAACAAGCAGAAAAAAATAGCAACCTAGAATTCAGAAATGTTGTATATATGGTGACAAAACTGGTACTTAATTGTTTAAAAGTTGCTTTGAAAGGAAGTTGCTGTCTCAGATTAAAGATGGTATGGGAATAGTTAGCACTAATGTACTCAGTGTATTTGTGGTTTTAGAGGTATTTATTTCTTAATATTACTGTATATAAAATAATAAATTTTAGCATCATGTACTTTATATAACTTGAGGAAGATGTAGCCTTTTCTTTAAAAAATATCCATGTGGTGTACTGATTGCTTCACTGATCTGCCTGAGCTGTGTCTATAAACTAGGCTAAAGGACAACACTTTCTCATGGTATTACTCCAGAATTTTACTATTTTTTCTTGTATACTGACTTACTGTTATCATTGTCATGGCCAAAGCATGGAAGTATCTGGAAGACTGCTGGTTAAGAGAGATTCTTCCCAAATCCCATGTCCGATTTTGAGGAACTATGGCTGGTTAAGGGGGCAGATGTGGGATTGTTTCTCCCTAAAACTGCTTATTTCCTGAAAGGGTACCATATTCTGTGTTCTCCTTAGGCCACGTGGATCAGTAACACGTGGATTTGTGCTTCTCTGGACCAGAGTAAAACATGGTGGGAAAGCCTGGCAGTGTACATGACAAGGGAGAGAGAAATCAGTTTCAGATAATGAATGCTCACTGCCCTACAGTAAACTTTGAGAGACAATAGTTCTGCAATAATTAAGAAAAGCAAGGAAGTCGTTGGGTGTTTTTAATGACCATGCTTACTATCTTAGGAACTCATGTGTCCTATGCAGTACCTGCATCCAAGGGCATCCTTCTTGCTCCTGGTGGAATTGTTACACGTTTGCACCTTAGCTGTCTGTGCAGCATTCGGTAATGGAACTTCCTCTGTTTCAGTTTACTGTTTCCTGCTATGAAAAGAATTCTTTGGAGGAAGTGTTTTCATTCTCTAGGCTAATTTTTCAGCAGTTCTTTTTCTCTCCTCCATTCCCACCTTCCTTGGTTTCCCTATCCTCTTAATTTTATCTTTTAAAACCTATATATGGCCTAAGTGCTCTTTTTACTTCTGTCAGCATGCAGTGATGTGGAAGAACTCACCTGATCTCTCTGTACTGCAGCTTCACCCTTCAGACAGGATGCAGTGCTGGTTTACCAAGGAGATACTGACCCAAGTGGATTTTTTTTTGCTGTAGCATTTGTTTTCCATGTATCAAAAAAACATGCTTGCACACATTTCTTTAGAAAATAATTTCTTATGTACAAGTGGAGAGTAAGAGAGATTTTCCCCTGATTTTTCTTCTTCTAAGTCTCTGAAGTTGCAACTGCAGAAGTGATTTTGCAAGAAATATTCTTGTGGATGCTTGCTTCACTTCTGAGTAGTTTTTAATTTTAAGGAATGGGGACGGAAAAACCTTCTGTGTATGCAACTTATTCTGACCTTCAGTGACTTCATAGGAAGGCCTTTTTTGGCATGAAGCTGGTTTTGGGTAGAAGTGTGATTTCACATGTTGAGCTTGGGTTTTCACAGCCACATATTGTTCTTGGAAAACTGTGTGAATTGTTCCTCTTTCAACTCTTAAGGGGATAGGAAGGGGGAGTCACCATCCTGCCTTACCATAAGACTGAAACTTTTGAAAGTAGAACTAGATCCCTAGAGACACTGGGTTACTTCAGATAGTTGGAAAGTGTGTGTATATTTTAAAGTCCTTCTGTTTTTCCTTCACTGGTCAATTAAAATAAAAAAATCACAGCCCAAAACCTTGTGACTGGGATGCAAAAAAGACTAAGATTTCAAATTTTGCATTTAGTTCTGAAATTAAATATCTTCTTTTCCATCCTAGTGTACTCTTGACTCAGAAGTGGCTCTGCGAGTGGGAGGTGATTTCTTCTTTGATCCTCAGCCTGGTGACTCCCCAGTAAACCTAGTGCTGATAGCAGGGGGTGTTGGAATTAACCCATTGTTTTCTATACTGCTGCATATAGCAGATCTTCATGGATACCAAGAGGGTAAAGGAAATAGACACAAATTGGGAACAGCGAAGCTGTACTACAGTGCAAAAAATACGAGTGAACTCTTATTTAAGGTAAATCAAAAGTTTTTTAAAAGCCAGGTCTCAGCTATTCAGCTGCTAGTGTGTATAACAATGTTACCAAAATCCAGAGAGTCCTTTTGTGTAAAACACTGTACAAACAGAGACAAAAGTCACTTCCTGCCTCAAATCCCATGTTTTGTTAACTACTTATGCCAGTGTGCAAATTAAGTTACTGTCCTGTTACTGGACACATCTGCTCCCATTGATTTTGATAAGCCAATTACTCCTGAATTTTACTATATCCCTGCATTTTACTATGATCTTGTAACAGCATGATAGTATACTAAAGATTATATATATATGTATATACACACTAACAGTCTGCATAGTGCTGCAATACTGTAACCACACAGTCTAAGTAGAGATTGTATTGAATTGAATGTAAAGACTAGAAAAGAATAATTCTATAATACTGTAACCACACAGTCTTAAATAGAGATTGTATTGAATTGAATGTAAAGACTAGAAAAGAATAATTCTATCCAAAGGAATACTTTCTAAAATAACAGCAGAGCTTTACTGATACTGTATTAGTTACTAATAAGTACTAGTGCATGAATGAAGGATTTATAGTTGCTTTTAAAACTGCTTGTTTTACTGCAGTACTTCATCAACATTTACTCAGCAGTTAACAATCAGTTGTCACACTCTGCCATTAATGTTTATTGACAATATCTTAGGGTCAAATTAGCACAGCTTCTGTGAAGAAGCATCCAAAATGATTTATGGGTTTTTTAAGTATTGAAAGCTTTTGACTGTAAGATGAAGAGCTGTCATGATTCCAGAAACTGTGTATAGGATTCATCACTAGTTTTATGTCTGTACTTCTATCATGTTTCTAGATACGGAGATACTTGCTTTCTTTGAATAGCTGTTTGTTTGTTGCTAGAAGCAGAATAATCTGCTCTTCCTTTTGCCACCTACTGATCTTCCAGTCTGTTCTAAGCATGCATAGGTTTTTCCAGTGCCAGTACTGACATTCCTGGAATTCACTTAAGAAGTTTTGCAACAGCAGAACTTTTGCACAAAAGTTTCTGGGACAAAAGAGAAAAGTGTCATGCACAGTGCTTAAAATATATCCCTCCTTCATTCTTCACATGTCCCTCAGATCCAGAACATGGCTGTCAAAATTCTTCACTTCTGTGCAGAGGATTGAGGAAATACAATCTCTAGCAGCCTTTATGCTGTTGTGACAAACAGCTGTACAGGATGTGTACAATCTCCAGGAGGACCTGCTGGGTTATCACTGATGGTTTGGAGGACGTGGTCCTTGAAGGAGCAGCTGTGTATGGGCTGACAAGGGCAAAGGGAGATGCCACGGGGGTCTGATCCTCACTGTGGATGTGCTCTCATGTCACAGGCTAAGCCACTGGAAATATCCTTAGTGCAAATTACAGATCAACAGCACTGGGGTACAAAGACAGCAAGTCAATGGTAGAGGTGCTGGTGGAACACTGCACAGCAGTGGCAATATGTGCTGCTCTTCATCCCATGTCTTTTTAGGGATTCAGGAACAGATTTTCTACAAAGTAGAATCTTTCTGGGTTTTTTTATTAAGCAACCCAGGGCAGACTCAGTGTAGTAACTAGTTAACAAGCAAACACTTAACAAAATGAGCAAATTTACCTAGAAATTATTTTTACTTCAGAATATTTTAAAGAATTTCCAGTGTCCTGTATAATGCAGAATCTAGGCAGTAGCTAAATCTTAATTTCAGAACTACAGCATCTGACTAACATATTCTTTTTTTGCTGATTTGAACTGAAGCCACTGGGGGTTTGGTGGTAACTTACCACAGCTGTGACTTAGGGAACTGAAAATGAGTTTATACTTTCTACTCTGGCAAAAATAACATTAGCATGACGTGGTAGTTGGTTTTACTTGAGAACATGAGACACTAAAGGGTCTAGTGACCTTATCAGATAAACCAGACAAGACTCAAAAAGTTCTTAACTAATGGTAAATACATACTGCAGGGTTTTTTTAAAATGGAAAACCCCTATGGAAGTGGAAGGAAGAAATACTGAGAATTCATAAAGGGAAGAAATTGGGAAATGACCTAACTGGATCTTGGGTCCAAATCTTACAGATTGTAATCTATATCAGAAAAGAAGAAAAGCACTAACATAGCTGGCAGGGTATTCGCATTCCAAGTGTGGGAATTCTGTGTATGTGTACAGGTCAGGCCTGTGGAATCACACCCATCAGGTTCTCACTGCTGAAATGCAAAGTCTTGGTTCTCACTAATAAGCACTGGCATTCTGGGACTGTGTGCATACATCTGCTTTGATTTAACGGCCTGTGGTGTAAGCAAGTGTGTTTAACATTACAGAAAAATATTCTTGGTTTGATGAAGGCGTTTCCTGGAAAGATCACATGTTGTTTCCACGTCACCCAACAGCGCTCACAGATCTGTAAAGAACTGCAGCCACACATTACAGGTAAAGGTCATGGCATTGTATAGAGATCCTATCTGAAGCCCCAGTTTGATTACATCCTACAGGACGAAGCTGTGCATAATAACCCAGCATTTTTACATGTAAAGCTTCAAAATGAGATGCAAGTTAAACAGTTTCTCTGTACTTATTCCACTTTGCAGAAAACTTTTCTCTTTGCATTTTTTTCCTCTGTTAATCCTAAACTTCACATGGGTATTTCCCACTGCAGACTTTATTCCAGAAACTATTAAGCAAATGCTGTTTGCTTTCCTTAAGGTGGGATTGATGTAGGATGAGCTGACTGCTTGTAAGAGACAGTTCAGCATGTTTCCGTGTCTGCTGTATTTGTGTTAGAGATACCTATTTTTTTCACGTGAATTTGGGATTGTACTTGTCTGTAAGCCATGTTTCTCTTCAGTGACTAATACCCTCTGCATTCCAAGTACAAGCACTGATTTAAATCCCCAGAAAAACAAATGGTTTTGGAAGCCTTAAATCTCAATATCTATTATCCTGGAACAGGCCAGGCATTTTTAAGAAATGAGTGCTTGAAATACCTCTAACCAGACACTATGTTTGAAGTGACTTCATGATTAATATTTCTGTTCTCATTTCCTACTTTTTTTCTTTGTCAGAAGGAAGAATATCTGAAAAGGATCTAGAGAAACATGTATCTAATGATACTTCATGGTACATCTGTGGTCCCCCTCCAATGATAGAATCTATATCCAAACTACTCACTAACATTGGTGTTCCTAGAAACCGTGTTTTCTTTGAGAAATGGTGGTAGTGACACCTGCTGAAGAGAAAATGATAGTATTTTTTCCAGTGCATTTTGATAAGCTAAAATGTACAGAGATGGACTATGAATTATTTTGAAGATTTTAATGAAGATGTTCTCAATGATTAACTGTAATACGCCTGAAATACAGTGCTGCTGCTTTGGGGAAAGAAAAGTGATTTTATATTAAAGACATTAACTGTTCTGGTTTTTTGATGGTTTGCTTTTCTTATGGGTACCAGCATATTTTCACTTTATACACTTGCTTGGTTAGTCAGCTTTTAAAAGACTTTTTTGATGCCTGATTCAGCACTTGTAGAGAATTAGTTGTGCAGCAATGCCAGATACGTTTGTATGGATAATTCAGGCCACAACCTCTGAATCTGCTCCAAATGAGTCAACACACTTCCCTCCCCAGTTCTATATAATGTATTTACTATTTTTATAGAGAGCTGCTGTGTTGTGACTTCCTTCTCTTGCCATTTCTTCTCAGAAGAAAAAAACCACCTTTTATGTGGTTTATGTAAATAAGTTAGTTGTGTTAAGATATTTTCTCATAATCCTGTTTAGCCTGAGTTGAAAGTGTTGACTGCAGCAATCATAGGAATTCCTCCCCCAAACCTGTATCCTGTGCTGAGGTTGTTCAGCCAAGATGGGAAATCTCCACAGTCCTGCTGCATAAACTACAGAGCTTTAGGGGATTCCAGGACATAGTGCTTGGAGAAAGGTCTTTGGAAAGGTTAGTCTTGCAAGGCATGAGTGTACCTCTAGGTGTAATGGCCGATACCTGAGCCCTTCCTGAATGAACTTTCTTTGTCCAACTTTAAGAAAAACTCATCAAAGAAATTAGGAGACCAACAAAATCTATATTGGGTTTGTTAATTATCTGCATAGACAGTTCAAGTCCTTAAGTGGCAGAGATTCCTCCTGTACACTTGAAGACGTCAATCAGGAACAATATCGAAAGTACTAAGTTCATATTGAATTAGTTAAAATGTTAAATGGATAAGGCCTTCCCTTTGTTAGTGGCTCCTTTCCTTGAGTTACATGTTTCAGACACAGTCAACTAGGTAATGCAGCACATTCCTTGCCATGAGTGTCTCCCTGCTCTGCCTTAAACAGGGGTTGCAGAGACACTGAACCAGCCAGTTCCCAGCCTGCTGCAATCGCCTTGGTGTGAAGCACTTTGTTTTTCAAGCACAATGTCTCTGTGGTTGGCTAAGAAGGCCTCAAGCCCAGCTCTAGCTCTCTCCCAAGGAAGTCATTTCAACTTCAGCATACTCCAGTTCTACCCTCTTTTTATCAGTCTGGTATGTTGTACAGCCTGGGGGCTACCTGCTGCCACATCCATGTGCACCTCATCCTCAAACGGCAGAGAGGTAGCCCTGCTGGGAAAGGCCAGGCCCTTGCTCTGAGTGAAGCACAAAGCTGTTCCTGGGACTGTGTCAGAAGCTGATAAACAAATGAAATAATGCCAGTGCTTCCTGGGTACTGAAGGGAACAGGCCATAGCTGCTGCCACTCTAATGACAGGCTCTATTTTCCATCAGGAGGGGTGAATCTGATTGATGGACCTTTAAAAGTTGCCTTTTGGGGACAGTACTGTGATGAGGCTTTGCCCCCAAGTTTGTGCCTTCTGCTGCCTACACTTAGGTCTGTGCTTCTGTTCCATGCAGTGCCACTGCCAGCTGCCATTGTTGGCCCCCTGTGTAGCCACTGCAGGCCCAGAGGGGATGTCTCATCTAATCCCTCCTCCTCAAATGAGAGGAAGATTCCTTCTGAGTACTTCTATTTCAATGAATGCTTCCTTGTTTGTTCACTCTAGAATGTAAATAGGACAGCGTGCTTGTCACAAAAAATAACACCAAGGGGGTTTTGTGTTCACAGAGATTGCAGCTGACACGTCAGAGCTTGATGCTTGAAAGAAGCAGGGTTTTCCTAGGAACGTGCAATACATTGCTATCAGCAAGTACCGGTGCCCTAAAACAGCCACGCACTAGGCTCGTCTGTGTTTTAACAGTTTCATGATAAAAAGATTCTGAGAAGCCTTTAAATGTTGTTTTTCTTACGACTTCTAAATAATTTCATTAATTATAAACTGGTATACCCTTTTCTTCCCCTAATGTAGAGGCTTTCTGCAGCCCAAATTACATCTCTTTCACAAACCTTCCTCAGACCTGCACCAAAATGTCCATTTAACAAAAGGCATTTTGAAACCCTTTGCTTCTGTCATCATCATCTTCTTTTCCCTCTAACCTCCTTCTGTCATCCCCTGTTACAGTCAGCCGGAGTGCTGTGGGGCAAGGACACATCTCTCTAATTGTGTGGGCTCACCCACTAGAAGAGCAGGATGAAATACACATACACTGCCCCGAAACATGGACAAGAATAATTATTTCATACCCCCTGCCCCACCAAATAGTGGTAGCCTCTGGTACTGTGAGCAATAAGTCCTTTCTTACCTTGTAATAAATGCAATTTCTAAGCCAAGAATTTGGGAAAGTTGTTGACATCCCCTTCCTCCACAGCCTTTTCCTGTTGACACTTAAGAATCTTTTGGAAGTCTCCTTCTGAAGAGTTTCCTGGTATTTTAGTGAGACTTCAGTTTCACCTTAAAGTCTGCTATTGGATCTGACTCTGCCATAATTGAAGATAAAAATAACATCCCAGAAACATTAATCCATATTTGGATTAATCCATGTGTTTACATGGTCTACAAATAATTCAATAAATGTGATATGGGCCTGCACTGTTGGGAACAGAGAGCAGCCCCTGCTGTTCAGCTGCTACTGAATTGGAGAAATATTCCCATCACTTTGGTGAATCTTGTCATCGTAGAAAATGTTTATTCCTCTTACACTTGTGCCATCAGCTAAGGAGCAACTGAAGGAGAAAGTAGACTGAAAACTTTTTTTTTTTTTTAATAAAAGATGAGGAGTGAGAGATTTGTCCATCCATACATTTATATTTAAACTTAAGAAGATGGTTTGTGAGTTACCTGGTGTTGCAGCCCTATTAGACTTTCTCTTCTTCCTGTGACATGTATTATACCAGTTTGCCATGTGCTCATCTGGTACAATGAGTATCAAATATTCCTATAGTACTTGCATCAATTTGCTGGAAAAAGAGTGGGCATTCAGTTATCATTAGATCATTTTAGTTAGTAGGGTGCTTTTCTAAGTGAGTAACAGAAAGCACTTAAAATTGAAAAGCCTTTTTTCCCCCCTCAGTGGGGGGAAAGGTGGTATGGTACTGATTAGAGTCAGCTGCCACATCCAGCACCACAGGCACCTTCCTGAGGATGGAGGCTTTAGCAAGGACCACTTTTTAAAGCCAAGGGCACATCTTCACTAACAGCCTCAGAGACATACGAATTGTGTCTACAACTACAATTCATAGGTGTGTTGTTCGCTGGCATTTCTCATACTTTCAAGAAAAACCATCAGCAAGAAATTAGTATGTGCTCTTCTTATACTCTTCACTTCTGGGAGGATGAAATTCCTGCATGAAAGGCTGATCATGCTTCATTTCTGCCCTATAATTGGCTCCCTGAGGCAAATGTAGAGTCACAGCAATTACAAAGAAAAAGTAGGGTATCCAAATGCAGAGCCCTTCCTCTGCTCACCTCAGAAATCGAGGCTGACAGAGGAGTCAAATTAGGGAGAAATGGGTATATTGTTTTATACTTAGCTTCATTTCCACACATATATTAAAGCTACTTTGGGCTACTTCATTTATACTGTTTTCAAGTGCACAGATCCAATAATCAAAGACATAATGCAAGCTGAAGTACCAGTCCCATCATTTGTGCACTTCACCCCTCTTAACATACCTATTTTCATTATGATGTTTCCTTCAAGAGTTTGGAACCCTGTCCATCGTAGTTGTACCCCTCTGCCCCTGCTCCCTGCTGTTTGTTGCAATTTAAAAATCCTTCTCCATCTTTCATTTCATTCGGCCACTCCTCTTTGACAGTCCTCATTTGCCTCACATCCAGTTTTCTTAATACCTCCAGGGATGGTGACTCCAGCTCCACATTTGCCTCACCACCACCGCCCCGGGCAGCCCATTCCAATGCCTGAGCTGGATTTTCTCCTTCGAACTACTCCTGCCTCATAGCTGGTGTCTTGTTCAGATGACCACTTGCTGACTGCTGTCTTTCACTTCCCTGGCCACTCTGGTGGTCCTGCTTTTTCAGGCCCAAAATGGCAAAGGCAGCTGAGATAAAATGCAGGTAACAGCTGTGGAGCCTTGCTGCTGTACCACAGACCCGCCTTCCCCAGCCCTCATCACATCTGGATCATCTGTCCCAGAGATGATTTAGGCTCTCTCACTCTCCTTGGGACGGGGGCACGGTGTAAGCACGCACACAACTTCAGACAGCTGAACCAGCTCAGAGTAATTCAAAATCACAACTTGGAACTGATTATAAGATTATAAACCCCAAACCAGCTGCCCTAGTGAAACTGAAAAAGCATGCAAGTTCTCTTCGACTCCTCCCAGCTGTAACGCAGCTTTTATAGGAACAAAGTTTTAAATCAAGCCTTCACTTAAACAAGTGAAACTTCCCCACAGGCCCTTCCATGCTCTGTTGGGAAAGGAAAACCAAGTAGCCAGTTCTGTAGCACCAGTAACTACTGCTAATTCAGTAGTAAGTAGCTTCCCCTCACCACCACTTAGAGAACTGAGTTCCTCCTTTTGGGGATGAATAATTGGCATTTGTGCAAACACCACAAATAAGGAATCTCCTCATGACCTTTATTTCTCTTTAGTTTTGTAAGCAGCTGGGGTTCAGTTAAACAAGGTCAAATTGCAATCCAATAAACGTTTTCTATTAAAAAGTATTTGGAGAGGTCTTTCTACTGCAACACTTTCTACTAGCAAAACGTTCATTAAATATTGTGACTTTTTAAACAAGATTAATACAAGGCTGGTCCTTGAGATAGAAACCATCAGTAAAAGGATCTTATGCTAAAAAAATCTGCAAACAGGAACTTAAAATTGTACAGAGCAGAGACCGTGTATTTAAGCAGAACAACTGCAGCAACCTATTTTTGAGGCAATTGGAACCCCAGTGTAATCTTAAAATACCAAATGAAACAACTGAAAAATAGCATCAGAAACTGAAGTTACTTACAGTCCTCTGGTTAAACCACTGAATTCAAAATAAAACACTCTTTAATCAATGACAAAACTATACCACTG